AAGCCAAAGTGGGCAGCTTAAAAATTTCAAAATAGATTGTTTAAATGCATTATAAATTAGCTATAAGTTTTATACCTTAATAAATTCAATCAAAAGTACTATTTTTTACCTAAAATTCAATTATTTGGGTCATGCCATAATTCAATCATGTTTTTTATGTTACGAGTGATTTTGATTCAATTCAATAATTTTTGTTGAAATTAACTCAAAAACTTATTAATTATTTTTTATTATTTAATCTCGTAATTTTGGCAAAAAATTATGAATTTCAAATGAAATTTTTAAAGTTGAACTCAAGTAGTGACATTAAGGTTATAGGATCTTTACTGATGAAGACAGCAATTTGTGGTTATAAGAATTCATAATATTTTAATCCAGTTGCTTATAATAAGAAATCCTCTTTCTACATTGGGCTTTTGGTTTAGAAACCCTCGAGTTATTTGGGAGATTATGAGAAATTTAGGGAATATTTTGAAAAGTTTTGAAGGGATTGGATGTATTTTGAGATTGAGGGAAGTTATCATCAAGGCTGTGTTGTGAGAGATGAATAAAAAACTATATGATTCACCTGAAGTTAGATGGGATTAGCCGCCTAAGTTAGTAGAGTAACCATCACAGACCTTTTCACATAAAATTCACAGAAGAAAAAAATATATATTCAATCAATAAAAAAAGTTTAAGCAAGTGCATTTTATTTGTATTATGTGTATGATAATTATTGTAGATACAAAAAATAAAAAAATAAAATTTAAACCTTCAAATAATGATAATTCGGATTTATCAAATAAGACCAATAGAGTTCTCTTCAAAGTTAGCAATTTATAAATATTTTTATTTTCTTAGGTTATAACTCACCATAATATTTAAGCTTTTTAATTATTTTTTCATGATTTCAAGGATTATGGATCGTCTATGGGGCTACACGCATGTAGGGGGTGTCAATATTTGACACAGACCAAAATCTCGACCCTACATTCCGACCCTGAAAATATCCGGGTTGGACCCGACCCGTTTCAAAAATGGGTCGCGGTTTCGGTTCTAGAAATCGATACCATTTAGAAAAACTGGATCGAGTTCGGGTTGACCCGATGGCGCTTGCCAGTCATCTGCGTAACCAGTTTAAAATTAGTGCCTGCACTGCCCGCCGCATCCCGCCGCACTGGGCCCGGGGCTATGCGGACCCTGCCCGCGCGAACAAAGCCCTGCAGCGCATGGCTGACGCGGCCTGCTAGCACTGGCGCCTCGCGCAAAACCTGCCCCCGCGCGTCGCCACGCAGCCCGCCTACGCGCTCCCGTGCCTGTCACTCTGCGCCCGCCGTGTCGACGTTGTTTCCAGGTTCGTGTCGGGTCGGCGTACCGATCATGCTTTTTGGCCTGTTTAATACCTCGATTTCGGGTTAGGGTTGACCGTTTGTACACACCCTAGATCTTACCATGGATAGTTTTATATGATAAACGCCATAAAATTTTTGCGTCAGCCCTTAGTTTTGTGATATTATCTTTTGCCGTTATTCCTGGTGCAACATAATAGCTTCATCCAAAACTTATATACTTGAATAGAAATTTATTTAGGTGCGTCATCTAGACTTTTGCGTTCAGGCAGTATTCGTCGACGGTAGAGAAATATAAAGTTTATCATCTTAGCATTGTACGTAAAATCCGGCACGCAATCATCCGATAAAGGACGAGAGGGTCTACCATTACGAGACACCAAGATTTTTACGTGGAAAACCCTAAAAGTGCGGAAAAACCACGCGGCCAGCCCAGTTTGAATTAATCCACTAGTATGCCAGTCGACTTACAATGAGGCCCTTCATCTTGGTGGAAGGTCTTAGCTTGATTGTACCATCTTATGGGAGCTACCATTAGATGATGGTAATACAAAAGGAGTCTTTATATTGACATTTCGCTTGGTGGAAGACTTTGTAGTCGGTGGGCGACGGTTACTATCAGGAGGGCCGTAGCGGTTGGCGACTGGAGGTCGGAGAGGTACTATAGTCGGCGGGCGACGTTAAGTAAGGAGCGACCGCAAGTGGCGGGCGACAGAGTGTCAGCAAGACTGTAGTCAGAACGGTTGCGCATAAGTCAGGTAACCGGACCTAGTGCGTGTGAGCTGACGGGGTCGAAGACTGTAGCGGCGGGCAAGAGGGAAACTCTGTCGTTAATTGAGAAGAATTTCCACATCCTGTTGGAAGTTGGGAAGAATTCTAAGCTTCTCCCAAAATCCGCAGAATCCCGCGTCTTCTGGGGTGGCAGGAAGAGCTCCGGCGGTGGTCGGAGGAGGTGAGGAATCTCCTTTTCCCCTTTCTCTCTCTCCTTCTTCTCTCCCTTCACTTTCCTCCTTTCCTTGGTGGCTGAATGAGGGCCTCTATTTATAGTTTTTTCTTGGAGTGGCTTAGGCCCGTAAAATAGGCGTGAGATCAGGGGCGGAATTTGGAGTGTTTTGAATGGACGGCGGATATGAATCCTTTGATCATTGCACCGTTCGTTGGGCATTTGAAAGCCTTAAATGATGTCGGGAATTCGGCTGATTTGGCTCGTTGGATTCATCTCGTCGAGCCGTTCGATTCGAATATAAGCTCGTCAAAATCATAAGACTGTTGGTAACTCTCAAATTTGCGGTTTGAATTCTTCAACAGCGCTTTGAGCCCTTGATTCGGACTCATTTGGGCTCGGATTGGGTTGATCTTGTGTCGTTGGGTTGTATTTCCGAGACGCTTAGTTTGACTGTAAGTTTCCTGAAATCGGAGTTCATGTGCCTCCCGGATTTAATTTTTGAAGTTTCCAACTTGATTTTTCCTCGAGATTCGTTGCCCAATCAAGATAATTCAGGGATGATCGTATACAAGACTCAATAATTTTTAATATAAATTTTTTTAAAATGGCCAATCCTATTTATGTTGTACAACATTCGATACATATTATTTATTATATGCAGATTATTATATCACGGGATGATTATTCACCTCAACATTTTGATGCTCATTCTTCCTTTTCTTATCAAAATAATTTATTTTGTCATCTTCTTATCACCCATTATTTTAAATCAAGAAGTTAAATGATAAGCGATAAATGAATGTGTTTATTTTATGTATTTACATTTTAATGAAAATGATGAGGTATATTTTAGTTATTTGTGCAGAGAAAAATACAATACTAATATATATATATATATATATATATATATATATATATAAGTTTCATATAATGTCATGGCGTTGGAACAAATAATGTTGCAGCACCATCAAAGACATCGTTGGAGCACCAGAATATTAGAATTATAGTGCCTAATTCTCTATCGATCGGCACCGTAGCGGTCAAATATCAACCCTTGGTGATATCCATCTCTTGTATTTTCTTTTTATCATGTTGTCAATGAAAATGAGTTTACGTCAATTATACTTCATATCTAACTAAATTCTCTTATTTTGGATTGATAATGTGAGTATCATATATAGTACTAATAAATTATCTTATTCTTTAAATGATTAAAAAGATATTTTTAATATTAACATATCTTCATTTAATGCACATTATAGCCATAAGTGTAGTTAAAATTAGATATAATGTGCGGCCTTGTCGGAGGGAAGCAAGCATAATCAAGAATCTTGAATTAGTATATATCATGCTAATTAGGCATAAGGTATGAAATGTACTAAATTCTTAAGGAGATGATATAACCATAGGAAGTCGATAGACATCCTTTGTTCCTACAAGATCGACAGAGATCTAGGGATGCATTTAGTCTGAATAATATCACAATTAAAAGAGATTCATTAGGAAAAATATGTTATTTACATTCATCAATCTAAAATATTATATCCATATAGTGTATTTATTATATTTATCTAATTTTATTTAAGTGATTGAATCTCTACAACTTTTATTTTTATTGAGTAGGATAATTATTACTTAGGGGAAAATTTGTAATGTGGAATCATATTCCTCAAACTTAGGGGAAAATTTTATAATAGAGTAGAATGTCGGTCATTAAATGAGAAGCATAAAATTAAATTAAGTGTTAGAGAGATGAGGGTACTCAGACGGATGAGTGACTTTAATCTTAGAGATAAAATGTGAAACGAGTATATACGTGAAAATATTAGAGTAGCTTTAGAGGTAGATAATATTAGAGAGACTCTTCTTAGATGGTTTGGTCATAGAAAACTTCGGCCTTCTGATGACCAGATTATTTGAGTTGATGTAATGCTTTCACATTGTATACTTCCTTTTTTGTGAAGCTTTACTAATTTGTGTAAGCAACTTTTTTGGCATACACATTCTAATATTTTATTAAACCCTCACCATTTCCATAAAGTCTTCTCATTAAAATATTCTCTTATTTATGAATAATGAAAATTTTACTACTGCACTTAAAAAAAATAAAAAATTAAAAATCAAATTAATGTCCACGTTATTTAGATAGCTTAATAAACATAATAGAGATTATAATACATATTTATTTGAGAAAAATATAAGTAGGCTATCTAAATAGAGTAAATTTATTTTTTTAAAATTAATATTAAAATATTTTAATAAAAATCTCAAATTTATTAAATTTATTGAAAATAATTAGAATATATGAGTAATTAATTAAAATTTCTATCACATTCAGCTTAAAATAAATTCAATAAAATTTAAATAAAAATTGATGAAAACATCCTGAACCAATATTGTTAATCTTTAATTTTTATTATTTTTATTCAAGTTAAATTATTTTTAATAATAAATAATAAAATATAAAATATAAAACAAAATATTACAACTTTTAAAAATTAATCTTCTGTTTTAATCTCTAATAAAATTCAACCAAATTATTATTTCTCTTAGTCATAAAATTTCTCTCTCTATTTCTTTTTTTTTTTTTAATTCGGCTGCACAGATGGAAGATAGTATGTTGCTTTCATTTCCCTAAGAAAATAAGCTAAATAATGGAGGAATATTCGCATCCGCTTTTTGATATGCCGTTCCTCTCTTCTATAAAACTCCATCTCCATGGCAGGCCAAACCTTCCCTTCCCGGTCGCCAATTTTTACCTTCCTGCCTTACGCGCTATTTTTCCAGCTAAGTATTCTTTCCTTCTTTTTTTTTCATTGAACGATCTTATTTTTTGTGAGTTTTATTAGAATTAGGTTGCTGTCGATCTTGTTCTGTGAGATCCATCGCCAAAAATTTAACCTTTTTGGTTTCCATCTGGTTTTTGGAACCAATTTCTATTATAGATTCTGGATAGAAAGAAACCTAGTTGAGATCCGGGCCAGATTTTTTTTTTTTTTGGTGCTTCATATAGGTTTCAGGATTTAGTACCCAGATCTTGATCCCTATGTTCTTGCACGAAATCAATCTCTAGCCTTTATGAATTTCTCTACTCTTCGCGTCTGCTTCCTCCAATCCTTGTCGGTTGTGTTTCTTTACTGGTTCTACGTTTTCTCATGAATTAAACCCCAAAATTTTCGCTTGATACCAATCGATTCTCCACAAAGTCCAAATCTTTGGAATCATCGGCAAAGATCTTTTTTTTTTGGCAAAAGAAATGTCTGGGAGGCCAGCCCGCCAATCTTCCAGCTCTGAGAACTCTGGGGTAATGGTTGACGAGAGAAAGAGGAAGAGAATGGTGTCAAACAGGGATTCTGCTCGGAGATCTCGCCTGAGGAAGCAGCAGCACCTCGATGAGATTGTAAATCAGGTTGCTAATTACAAGAAAGAAAACGATCAAATTGAGATGCAAATCAATATGCACATGAATCAATATCTGAAGGTGGAATCTGAGAACACTATACTCAGAACTCAGATTATAGAATTGACTGATAGGCTTCAATCCATGAATTCTGTTCTTCGATTTGTTGAGGAGTTCAGTGGAGTTGCTATGGATATTCCAGAGATTCCAGATCCGCTTTTGAAGCCATGGCAGCTCCCTTGCCCAGGACAGCAGATAGTTGCATCTTCGAATATGTTTCAGTGGTGAGTGGCTCACCTTATTGGTTGTGTGTCTGGTTGATCTGTTTTAGTTGTAATATTTGAAATCTCTTTGTCGTGTTGGTGGTGTTTGAGTCTTATCATCTCTAGTTTTCCTGGTTTCATATCTGATGTGATTTGGGTTATGTTCAATGTAACTCTTTCTTTCAATTACATGCTGTAGTATTAAACTTAGCTAATATAAATAGTTTCTTCAATCATATTTCATGGTCTCTCTCTCACTTTTTTGTTGATTTCCCTCTCCTTATGTGTATAATGTTATGCTTATCAATTGCAAGCTTTATTAGTTTGGGGGTTTGGGCCAATGTTTTACATAAGTTGGAAGTAGAAATTAGAAACTACATGTGGTTGAGAAATGCTTTTGGCACCAATAAACAAATGTTTTCAATATAATTTTTGTTGTGATTGTTTAAGTTTATAGCTTATGAAGTGCAAAATTCAATGCAAATTACTTGATCTCAATGGCATTCAAAAAGGTTGAATGGGTTTTTGGTTTTACTCAGTTTGACCAAATCAAAGATTAGACAAGCTCAAAATAACTTGACATCCATTAGACAAGATTCAATGCGTCATATTGAGATCATGGATGTGACTTAGGCTTTGTTTGAGACGGCTTTCTTATTCCTTCTTAAAGCAGCTTTCTAGTACAAAATTTTTATTTTTTGTATTAAAAAGTTGTTTTAAAAAGCAGTAAGAAAGCCGTCCCAAACGAAACCTTAATTAGGGCTTAAAAGGCTTTAAACAAGCCCAAGCAGGTGGGTCAAGGTTGATTAGCTTGGTTTAGGCTAGATTGCTTGGCTCGTCATGGTTGAGTTATCTTTCTTTTTTGAAAGATTCATCAAGTAACAACCACTCTGTCGAAGGCAACTAACTAATAGCCCCACGAGCATAAGCGGCCTTTGATTGTGCTGGTTTGCACTTATTTTTCAACAATTTGTTCACGATGATTCAAAATTCTCAAAGCTATGATCCCTTCAATATTATATTACCTTGTGATAAATTGCTCCTTTAAGAAGAGGAGTCGATCTATATATATATAAAAAGTGGAGATGCATTATTATCAGTTTTGATAGCTTCATTCAAGAGGCGATGAAAATTTTTAGTATTATTTTGATCAATTTGGCTATTTTTTAAACTCGTTTCTGGGTTTTTTTATAATATGATGGAAAGAGTTTTGAAGAACTTTATCATATTATGATTGCACTGCTTGCCGTCACTGATGTAGAAACATCTTTGGTAGATAGTGTATCATAGTTTGTTATTAAGTTTCTGGAATATTCTTATTGTCTTTAAGTATGTAAGTATTGTGGTAGGAAAGGCAATTGATGAATATTATCATCTTTTGAAGCTTTTGAAGCTTTGTGCTTATCTTTGCTCCTTGGATTGAGATTGTCTTCAAGCAGGTCCGATTCTTCCGATGATCACCGCATCAATTTGAACCTGGCTTTAATACCAAACTGATGTGGTGCTTGTCGAAAGAATCAGACCTGTTTGAAGGCAATCTCAATCCAGGGAACAAAGATAAGCACAAAGCTTCAAAAGAGGATAATATTCATCAATTGTCTTTCCTACAACAATACTTGCATACTTAAAGACTTAATAAGAACATTCTAGAAACTTAATAACAAACTATGATACATTATTCCTTAGGAGTATTATACTAAAGATATTCCTACATCAGTCACCTAAAGACCAGACTTTTCTCTCATCCACATCCATCTTAAACAATGCTACATTCATGATAGCGATCACATCATCCATGGCCATTGAACATCAAACTATGCCTGTCTCCCATGTATGATGATTATGATTGTGTCAATCTATAACAACATGAATATTACATGATGCTCATCTCTTGTTTATGGTTATTTTATTGTCACAGTAGCATGCAATGATAGATATTGTGTAACTCATAGCCACTTGATACGGTGCTAGTGATCACAATGCACACATCGCTATTTGATGACCATATGATGTTCATCTCATGTTTATAATCACCTTACTGCCATTGTAGCCATTTGATGCATCACAATATACGTGAAAAGTTGGAGTAGCGCCAATGAAAGACAAGATTAGAGAGAGTCACCGTAGATGGTTTGGTCACATAAAATGGTGACCTTCCAATGACTTGGTTAGAAAAGTAAAGATATTAAATTTGACTTATGTTAAGAAAGGTAGAGGTAGATTTAAAAAGGCTTGGTTAGAAAATATTAGAAATGATCTTTCTTTATTAGATTTAAACGAGAATTTGACTTTTAACATAGCACAATGGAGAAAAGAGATTCATGTAGCAGATCCCACATAGTGGGATAAAGATTTGATGATGATGTTGTTGTTATCCAAATGTGTTGTTATTCTATTATTTGAGGGCATCATCAACCTACTACAGATATTGCTCATGAAGGTTTCAGTACAAGAAAAGCTGAATTTTATGCATGCCTATTGCAAGGTACTGTAGTATGAGAAATGTCGTGTTTTCATGTAATTATTTCGAGTGATTGAGAAAAAAAAATTTGAAAACTTTACTGAGTTTCCTTATAAGAGATCAGAATAGCCATCCATTACAAAATTCTTTGAATTGAAAACATTGGCAAAAACTAACATTCCTATTTTGAATATCCATTTGAACGTTTATATCTTTTTTCTTCTTGTTTTCATATCTGCTCATTTCTTAGTTCTCGGCATTGGACCGTTTGAATGTTCAGTAGCAGAATGCAATAGTCTGCACAAACTTGGCAACTTCCTTCAGGAGTTCCAGTTGAATATTTTGACACGTGCTCGATACGTGTCAGACTTATCTATCCATTTGTCAAATATCTAACGTATTTTCCCTAAAAAAAAAAAAAAAATCTAACGTATATGTTATGAATAATAGAGATTAATTTTAAAATATGTTACATATATAACTAAAGTTAAGCAGCCTCTTCTCTTTTTTTTTTTTAATTAATATATATTATTTAACTAATTTAATAGTATTGCTAATTTTATTTTTCCTTATTTTATTTTTATTTATAATTTTCAAATAATATTTATTTATTATTACTTTTATTAAAAATTAATTTTTTTTTCAACTTCAAACTTGATATATCATCAAAAAATTATCTTGATCAAGCATGAATCTCGAGATAAAATCAGGTTGGGAACTTCAAAAATTAAATTCGGGAGCATTTGAACTTCGATTTCAGCAAATTTATAGTTGAACTGAACGTCTCGAAAATACAAACCAAAGACATCAAATTTTACTCAATCCGAGCTCAAATGGGTCCAAATCAAAGACCCAAAGTGCATTTAGAAGGTTCAAACCATGATTTGGATTACCAAACAGTTTCCAAACGTAACATGCTTATAGTCGAATCAAGCAGCTCGACGAGACAAATCCAACGAGCCCATGATCGCTGAATTTTAATATCATTAAGACATTCAAATGCTCAGTAAATTGTCCATGATAAAGGGGATCAACATCGGCCGTCCATTTAAACCACTCCCAACTTACCCTTGATCTTTCTCCTATTTACTGGTCATGACACTCTTAGAAAACTATAAATGGACTCCTCATTTCTCATGAAATGGAGACCAAGCAAGAAGAAAAGGAAGAGAGTTATCTTTCCACCAGAGACCTCGACCATCGTCGGACTTCAGTCAGGTCATCAACTGACACCGGATTTATGCCCGGCCACCAACTAACGTCGGATCTCTACTCGGCCATCAATTAATGTCGGATCTCTGCCTGACCACAAAATGAAGTCGAATTTCTGCTCAGTCACCAAATAACGCCAGATTTTCGCCTGGCCACCAACTAACGCCGGATTTCTACTCGGCGACCAACTGGCACTGGATTTACACTCGGCCATCGACAGACGCCGAACTTCCACTTGGCCTCCGACTGATGCCAGACTTCCACCCAACTTCCAATAATTCTTGGACTTCCATCCAACAATAGTCTTTCCTACCGTCGTCACCCGAATACGGTCTTTCTGACATCCGTCACTCACCGACTATAGTTCTACCGACTAAACTAACATATCTATACTGATTCGTCCTATTTTCAATATATAATGCATTTTATATGATATATATTTGTTACATCAAGCCAAGACCTTCCCTCCAATGAAGGGCCTCATTTGTAATAAACTGCAAATATCAGTGGATTCATTCAAACTGAGTTAGGCCCATGATGTCATAATCTTTCCTTTGTAAAGCATCTGATAGTTCAACAGCGATTCCAAATATGTCTTTTATTAAGTGCAAACTAAAAGAGAAGTCAAAAGATTGCATTGAAACTAATAATACAAAAGCTTCCCCTCTCTATTCAGCACTTATGCTATCATCCAAAATTATTTCAAGCACATCAACAACTGAGGAGAACATTGTAATATATATAATTAGTGACTCATAATGAAAATCCCATCTTGTTTCACCAGGACGTCGTAAAAATATTTCTTGATTTAATCATCGTCCAGTGAACATCTCACCATTGTGTAATAAACTTAATGTCATATCGCATTGTTATCTCTTAGTTGATTACAACTTTTGCATGAAACGCCCACAATATTCATCACATTTGAAATTATAGTAAACAACAGTGCAATCTGAAGATAATTTTTCGCACCTGCGCTCTGCACTCCCTTTGTGCAAGTTTAGATTCGTAAACTACATAAAACATAAAAAATTATAAATTAAATATAAAATTAAAAACGAAGCACAAATTAATTATTCTAACCAGGTAAACAAACAATTCATATTCTTGAATTTTTTTTGCTATCCTAAACTAGTAAACAAGAAACTACATTGTGTATTGAAATAAGAAGACATTAAGCAGTAAACTACATTAAATTTTTACATAATATTGAGATTAGATCAAACAAGTTCATATTCTTTATTTTTTTTATCCTAAACAGTACACCGAACGCCATTTTCAGTAAATGAAATTATTAGTTTAGGTATATATATATATATATATATATATATATATATATATATATCCAAAAGGATAGAAAACAAAATAACAAAAAAAAAAGTTTATTACCTATGCAGTCGGTCGGATCCAAGACGTAAGGGAAAGCAGCTGTCTTTGTGAGTGAAATGGGAAAGCAAGGGCGGACGCACCGGTTAACTTCTAGTTCTGTGAGTAGAGGAGAATCTGTGACCCGAAGAAACCAGACTAGGATATGCACTATGCACGAAAGCTTTTGCATGACAATATCTTTTTTTTTTTTTTAATCTGGAAATGTTGAAGGAAGCCTAATAGATAATGATATAATGTCTATTAATTTTTCAAATTTGGCACCGCCACTCCCTCTAAACGGCAACCAACAAATTTTTTTAAGAGAGGGCACGTGCCCCCGCAGGCCCCCTCCTCACTCCGCCATTCGCTCCAACCTCAAAAGGTCATTTATACTAATGTCATGACATCATCCATTGTTACATTAAATTAATAGGAATCATAAGTGGATTGGGGGGCAGCATTGACTGTAATCGTAGTTAAGAAGATTCCTCCAATGATTTCAATTTCCAAAATGATATCTTGGAAAAGTATTTTTTTAGAAAACTCTCAGCAAATGCAAGAATGCTTCTAATAAATTTTAAGCTTTATACAACTCCTAGCTAGATTTTAACTCCTTGGGCAATGTCTTAATATCGATATCAAAAAGACAGTAACAATCTAAAGATAAATCATTCTTCACCTTTAATTTAGAATACACCCCTCTCAATCAAGATAAAATCAATCTCATAGGAATTCAATTCAACCTTTTTCACACATGTTAACGTCATCGAGCAATGCTCTGATATACAACTCGGATATGTGATTGATTCTATTGACCTCTTCCACATAGGTTAACATCATCAAGTAAAGATTTAGCATACAACCTTGAATAGGTCATACGTCATTAGTAGATTCTCTTAACCTCTTTTATATATATTAAAATCATCGAGCAATGATCTAATATATAACCTCAGATAAGCCATATATCCTTGATGGATTCTCTCGACATTTTCCATAGAAGCTAATGTCATCGAACAACACTCTAATATACAACCTCGGATATGTCATAAATCATTGGTGGATTCTCTCGACCTCTTCCACATAGGTTAATGTTATCGAGCAATGCTCTAACATATAACCTCAGATAGGTCATAAATCCTTAGTGATTCTCTTAATATTTTCCATATAGGTTAACATCATCGAGTTGTGCTCTAACATATAATCTCAGATAGGTCATACATCTATGATGTATTCTTTCGACCTCTTCCATATAGGTTAATGTCATCAATCAATGCTTTGATAAACAATCTTGGATATGTTATACTTCATTGGTGGATTCTTTTGACATCTTCCATACATGTTAACATTATCCAGCGATACTATGATAAACAATCTTGGATAGGTCAAATTTCCTTTGTGGATTTCTATCAATCTATTAACGTCATCAAACAATGCTCTGACAAATAACTCAGGAAGAACTACTTATAAGGTAGCCTTAAATGGAAGCTAGTATTGACAAGGTCCTCACAAGAAAGACTTTATAAAAGTATGTGGTTGATAAAGTCGTTAGTCATATAAAGATCTAAGTAGATTAAAAAGCCTCAAAAGACACATGGAGCAATATGTCAAAGCATATATAAAAAATGCACAAACAACTTAATTTGATCTAGGGAACAAGTTCATTTCAAATAAAAAATAAGCATTAAGCTCATAAATTAATCTCAACTTTATATATAATATCATTAGAGTTACATATATTCCACATCAAGTTTAAGTATATATTCATTTTGACAAGAAGCTAAAATTAAAGTTACACCAAAATCATCCATACAAGTAAAAAAAATTAAAAATAAAATAAAATAAATTTATAAAAGGGGTGGTTGTAGCCAACACCCCCTTAAAAAAATTAGTGGGCCCCTCACACAAATAAATTAGTTATAATTGTAGCCGGTAGTTGCCGACTGCTCAAAAGGGCATAGTGCGCCTCAAAAGGCATACCTTTTCAGGTGCATGGGCAATGGTGGTGCTGGCCGGCTGGCCAATTAGTCCGCTAAAATGTGTCTGGGCCCGATTTTCGGCACAAACAGTCCAAATTGAACATTATTTGGATCCCCATAACAACTTTTCGACGTTCCAGAACCAATTTTAGTACTTTCAGAGCTTAGCGGAGCTTCTATGATCAATTTTATGCCATTTTAATATTTTAGAATGCGATTTTCCTGCATTTTTTATGATTTGAATAGTTTGGCAATGTTGTAACATATATTTTTGGACTTCTGAAGCTTTGATGTCCACAAATAGGGGGACAACTGATATATCATCAAAAAATTATCTTGACCGGACATGAATCTCGAGGCAAAATCAGGTTGTAAACTTCAAAAATTAAATTTGGGACCATTTGAACTTTGATTTCAACAAACTTACAGTCGAACTGAACGTTTCAAAAATACGAACCCATCGACAATAAATTCGACCCAATTCGAGCTCAAATGGGTTGAAATCAATGACGTGAAGTGTATTTAGAATGTTCAAACCATGATTTGAATTGCCAAGCAGTTTCCAAACGTGACATGCTTATAGTTGAATCGAGCGGCTTGACTAGACGAATCCAAAGAGCCAATGATCATTGAATTATGATATCATTAAGACATTCAAATGTTCAGTATATGGTCTATGATCAAGGGGATTAATATCGACATCAACCGTCCATTCAAACCACTCACAAACCCTTGATCTTCCTCATATTTACTGGTCATGCCACTCTTAGAAAACTATAAATAAACTCATCATTTCTCATGAAAGATAGTCCAAATAAGAAGAGAATGAAGAGAGTTCTCTTGTCATCTGACTCCTCAATCATCACCGGACTTCAGCCCAGCCACCAACTGACGTCAAATTTCTGCTCGGCCACTGACTGACGTTGGATCTTTGCGTGGACACAACTTGACACTGGATTTCTACCCGGCCACCAACTAACGCCGGATCTCTTCCCAACCATTGACTAATGCGGCATTTCTGCCTGGCCACCGACTAATGCTGGATTTCTGCCGGCCACCGACTAACGCCAGACTTCAACATGGTCACCGACTGACGTCGGATTTCTACCCCACCACTAACTGACGCCGGACTTCTGCTCGGTCACCGACTGACCCTATATTTACACTCGACCGCAGACTGACGTCGAACTTCCACTCGGCCGCTGACTGATGCCAGACTTACACCCGGCTTCCAATTATTCTTGGACTTCCATCCGACAACAATCCTTCCGACCACTGACACCTAAATAGTCTTTCTTACCTCCGTCGCCCGCAGACTATGGTCCTGCTAACTGAACTAACATATCAATACTGGTTCTTTCAATTTCCATTATGTAATGCATTCTATATGATATAAATTTTGTTACATCAAGCCAATACCTTCTCTCCAATAAAGGGCGTCATTTGTAATTAACTGCAAATACTAATTGATTCATTCTCCCATTTTCAAGATTTTTCACGTAAAAATCTTAATATCTCTTATAAATACGACACCCTCTCTCTTATTTATTTGTGTTAAATCTTCATACAAAACTAAGACGTTAAATTTTATATTTCTCTACCACTGTGAATATTTCAAGACGCAACAAACTAATGATTTATAATATCATGATACTATTTCTAAAACCCTGAATTCTTGGCATAATAAGCCCAAGAATTTTCATTATAAATAAAAGTACATTTACACATAAGAAGTCCCTCAAATTACTCATTAACTTAACGGGTCGAATTTTCAATTTCCTTAAGCAATATGAGCACTTATATCAAACTATTAGAATTCTCAAAGCTCTTTCAACTACGAAAATTTTAAAAAATAAATAATTCATTTACCGCTGAGATTGAGATTAGCATCCCTAAGCTTCATTTAGAACAGTTTTCTTACAATTTTACTTTCTAAATCATAATCATAATATATATTTGACCACGCTTTTGTTGATTTCCAAAAAAAAAATTATATTTAAAAAAAAAAACTTACAAAAAATTTATTTTCTCCATAGATCTTCACAACCACTTTGCATCCTAAGGGCATCTCCAACCGAACGGCAAACACTTGTTTGCCGTTCTTGCTTTGCTCCAACCGATCTCCATTTTTGACGCCATTTGATCGCGGATGAACAGTGCGACGCCAATATTGGCGTTGCACTGTTCATCTGCGGCATTTTTTTCTCTCTACCGAACAGCTTGGGAAGAAAGGCGCGAACGAAAACGATCATTTTAGCGGCAAAATGGCGTTGGATTGGAGATGAAACACGGCATTTTTTGATTTCCCTGCATTTTGAAGTGAAAAATGACATTTTCGGTTGGAGATGCCCTAAGGCCGCCGTGAACATCTTAATAATTTAATATATATTAGAAACCTTTAACCTCCTCGTCTCCTTTGACAATGGCTCACAGAAAAAGCTGAAAAACAAAAATCAGGCCGACTTCGACCTCCTCCTCTGAAATGCAAGAGGAGAGGCCAGAGAGATTTAGCAGAATCATGGCAATAACACCTTCAATCCCACTCCAACTATCATGCTTTTTCAAATCCATGATTTAACCCAAAACAAGAACAAAAAAATTAGTTTTTTAGCAGCACAAAATCTCCAAAATCAATCTAAATACCAAACAGCCCAAGCTAAGATCAAGCGTTTATTCGAAATATAACTCCATACAAAATCCCATAATTTATAACATCAAACAAAGGCAAACAAACCATTGTCATCGTCCACAAACGGATCGAGTATCAAATCCCTAACGAAAGTCGACACCTTTCTTCTTCCCCTGTTCTCATGATCCAAAGCGTGAATTATTCGACTGCAACAAAATCAGTCCTCGTAGGTTCGACACTCTTTGGTCTCCGGATTGTCCTTACAGTAGTTCTCGAGTGGATCGGAGCTGCTCTTAGCTCGGTCGCGCGCGTGGCTTGCGGCGGCGCTGAGCTCCTCTACCTCATCCCACGCTGCCGCGCACTCGCCGCTCTTAGGGTCCCCTTCGCACGTTTCCTCGGCTTTCTTTATGCTCTCCGATACCTTCTCCGAAATACCTTCGGGGCTCGTCGGCGCGCTGTAGACTGCCATTAGTCTTATTGTTCTCTTTGAGATGAGGCTCCGGGTAGGAGAAAGGAGGCTCCTTTGGGTTACCGGAGCGAAGGCGGATTTGGTGCTGGCGGCCGAGGCGGCGGAAGGAAGGTGGATGCCGGAGAGCGGAGAGGCCATTGAGGGCATTTTGGGGGAAGGGATAGAAGGTCTGTCGTGTCGTGCTGTAAGGTAGGAACAGATGGGGATTGCGAGGATTGATTGAGCTCGCCGTTCAATTTGGAACGCACATTTATTATCTTGTTAAGCCCTGCGAGAATATTTTTTTTCTTTTATTTTTTTTTTTAAAGTTTTTTGAAGATAGATAGATGATATAAATTAGGAAGAAGCCAAGAGCAACGTGAAATGGCAGAAAGTTCCCTGTGACGTATGAATCTAATGAATACTCGGGCGACGGTGGTCCAAGGGGTCATAGATGGCAGACGACAGAGATCTGAGATACTATAGTAAGCTGGCGTCGGTGGTTGGAGGGACTTTAGTTGGCAAGTGACGATGGTTGCAGGGATGTAGTTCACTTATGATGGAGGTCGGAGGGACCAGAGTCTGTGGGCGATGATGGTCAGATGGATCGTAGTCAGCGGGTGACTATAGTTGGAGGGGCAATAGTCAGCGGGTGACTATAGTTGGAGGGGCAATAGTCAGCGGGCGGCAGCGGTCAGAAGGACTATAGTCGGGCTTGTTGACGTCTGGCCGAAGACAGAACGAGACAGGGAAAGGAGAAACAGGAACTGAAAATTTTATTATTATTCATGCATTTCATTTACACAGTACAGGGAATGAATATATAGAATTTAGAGAATAGATAGCCGTTAACGTAATGATGACGTGTATGCCAGGTTGGCAAGAAAGTACAAATCTTGTTCTGCTTACATCCCCCGTCAAACTGATGATGGAAGTGCAGCCATTAGTTTGTTGCGTAGAGCTTTAAACCGATTGATAGGTAATGGTTTTGTGAAGATGTCGGCGAGCTGATCGTTCGTGCAGATGTGATGAACCATTAGATGGTTTGACCGAATGCTATCTCGAATGAAATGACAGTCCACGTCTATATGTTTTGTCCTGGCATGGTAAACGGGGTTGTTTGCAAGTGCGATTGCTGAAGTATTGTCGCAGTAAATGGTTGTTGGTGTGTTTTGAGGAATATGGAAATCCTGAAGGAGTCGGCGGAGCCAGAGAACCTCGGTTGCTTCTGTGGCTAGTGCGCGATATTCGACTTCAGTGGAGGAACGTGCCACTGTGTTTTGTTTCTTGGCTTGCCATGAAATTAACGATTTCCTGAGGAAGTTGCAGTAGCCAGACACTGATTTGCGGTCTTTGGTGTCGTTGGCCCAGTCAGCATCCACAAAGCCCTGTAGCACAAGGTTGTCACGATATAGAGGAATTCCAGTTGAGATGGTACCTTGTATATACCGGAGTAATCGTTTGAGGGCATCGAAGTTCATGTTCCGTGGATTGTGCATATGTTGGCTTAGCTGATGAACCGCGAACTGGATGTCAGGGCGAGTTAAGGTAAGATATTGTAGTGACCCGATCAGATGGCGATATAGTTGTGGATTGTCAAAAGGAACATGGGATATGCTGGTCTCGGTGAGTTTGCATGAAGACGGGGTTGCCACTGGTTTGGCTTGTTGCATTCCTTCTTTGGCCAAAATGCGATCGGCATACTGTTTCTGGTGAAGTAGTAGGCCATAGGTGGTCGGGGTTGACTGGATGCCTAAAAATTGTGCCAGATGACCCAGGTTCCGCATTTGGAACCGATTTTGAAGATTTTCGAGTAGCTTGTTGATCTCGTGAGAGGAATTCCCGGTTAAGAGAATATCGTCGACGTATATGAGAATATATAAGCGCGTTTGTCCCGATTTATAAGTAAGAAGAGACGGGTCAGAACTGCTTATAATGAAACCGAAATCTTGCAGATGAGTAGATAAAGTTGCGTACCATTCGCGTGGTGATTGTTTGAGACCGTAGAGGGCTTTCTTGAGTTTGCAGACGTGGTTGGGGTGGAGTGAGTCCTGAAATCCTTGCGGCTGCTGCATGTAGACATGTTCGGACAGTTTGCCATGTAGAAATGCGTTGGAGACGTCAAGTTGTTGTATGGGCCAGTTAAAGTGTAGAGCAATAAGAATGAAGACGCGAACGCTGGGGATCTTAGCAACCGGACTGAAGGTTTCCGAGTAGTCCACACCTTGTTCTTGATTGAATCCCTTTGCAACGAGTCTGGCTTTGTATCGTGCCACGGTGCCGTCGGAGTTGAGTTTGGTCCGGTAAGTCCATTTGCAGCCGAGGACGTTTTGATTGGGAAGTTGAGGAACTAGATCCCAAGTACCTTGTGATTGTAAAGCTTGGAACTCTTGCGACATTGCCGCACGCCAATGTTCATCTTTGACGGCTTGGTTGTAGGTTGTCGGATCAGTAGGATGGATAATATGAGATAGATTGAAAATTTGTTTCGGTTTAGAGTGGCCAGTCTTGGATCGGGTGAGCATAGGGTGCGAGGGGTGTTGAGGTATAGCAGAGACAGTAGGGGGAATGGGAGAAAGAGGTGCGTCTGTGTGTTGAGGTTCGGTGGAAGGTAAACTGTGGGTGGTAGGTATATGTGTGGTTGTAGTTATATGTTTGGGTGATGGAGGATTATAATGAGTCTGAGGACGGTTACCAGACAACATATGACTGATGGAAGTGGGAAGATCTGTAGTTGGAACTAGAAGTAGTGGGGGAATGTTAGGTGGATTGTGAGTAGTTGTTGGTTGAGGAGCAGATACCTGAGAAAAAGGGAGAATGTCTTCGTTGAAGATGACGTTGCGAGAAGTGTAGATCCTGTTGGTGGTAGGATCTAAGCATCGATAGCCTTTTTGGGTGGGGGCATACCCTATAAATACACACGGTCGAGAGAGAGGTGCAAACTTATTCGGGGCGTATGGTTTGAGCCAGGGGTAACAGAGGCACCCGAACACCTTTAGTTTACTGTAATCCGGTGGTTGTCCATGCAGTAGTTCATAGGGTGATTTGTGCCGAGTATTAGGGGATGGAAGACGATTGATGAGAAGAACGGCTGTTAGAAGAGTATCCACCCAAAGGTAAGATGGGAGAGACCCGTCAATAAGAAGGGTACGAATAGTTTCTGTGATGTGCCGATGTTTCCGTTCGGCGATGCCGTTTTGAGATGGCGAGTAGGGGCAAGTATACTGATGGATGATGCCTTGAGTGCGTAAGTAAATCTTGAAGTTATTGTTGATGAATTCTCCTCCGCCGTCAGTCCGAAGTATATGAATTTTGTATGTAAATTGGCGTTCGATTAGTTTTTGAAATTCTATAAATTTAGTTAGTACTTCAGATTTGTTCTTTAGAGGATAAACCCATGTATATTTTGAAAAATTGTCAATAAAGCTCACGTAGTATCGATGCCCATAGTTAGATATGGTTGGGGCAGGGCCCCAAACATCTGAATGAACAAGGTAAAACGGTGTAGAGCTAGTACTTTGAGATTTATCAAATGGCAATTGATGGCTTTTAGCCATTTTACATGAAGTACGGTGAGAAAAAGAAGATGTACAGATACTAGAAAATTGTTTCGCCAGAGATGACAGTGTGGAGGAGGAAGGGTGTCCGAGTCTACGATGCCACAAGTCGGAGACTGGCTGGATGGAGAGCAGCGCGAACTGAGAAGTGTCGGACGCCTTGGTAGATCGAGATTGAATGGGGTAGAGTCCGTTAATACACGGACCCTTGAGAAGAGTTCGGCGGGTCGTCTGATCCTTGATTTCGTAGCCGTGGGAAGAAAACGTAATAAGACAATTGTTATCAATCGTGAGATTATAAACGGATAATAAATTAAAAAAAAAAGATTAGGAACAAGATTAAGATGCGAGAGTTTTAGGCTACCTTGCGGTGTCGGAAGGATACCTTTTCCAGTGGTATGGATGGGGAGTTGTTGCCCATTGCCGAGTGTGACTTGATTTGAGCCGGTGTAGGGCTGAGCTGAATGGAGATACGACGGATCAGAGGTTAGATGGGAAGAAGCCCCACTATTAAGATACCATTTGGTAGGACGCTGAGCTGAGGGAGAGGTGAACAGAGCTGCAGGTGTTTGTTCAGTATTGTAGTCGTCGTCGTGGCGATGCCAACACTTGACCGCGGAGTGGCCATTCTTACCAAAAATTTGGCACGTGACCGAAGGTCTTGTGGTTTTACCACCGCGATTGTTGTTGGGATTGGGGCGAATAGACGAGGAGTTGGAGTTGCGTCCTCGAGCGGAAGTGGATCGTCCTCGTCCACGGTTGCGTGTTGCTGCCAGGGCTGTGGAGTTTCTGGATAGTTGCAAACATTGCATTTCACGATTTACCTCGTGAGCAAGGTTGAGCTCTTCGCTGCATAAAAGCGTGTAAAGATCATCCAATTGCAAGGGTTGAAGGTTTGTTCGGATGGCGGTTTTAAAAGCCTGGTATGATGACGGAAGGCCGTCTAAGGTATAATGGATGATGTCTTCTGGTGTGATAGGCGCTCCTGCAGCTGCGAGTGAATCGACCTTGTTCTTGATTTCAAGAAGATATTGAGACATCGTCTTGTCTTTCATGGTCAGATAGTGTAATTCATGACAAAGTTGTATGATGCGCGATCGTTTTCTGGATTGCAACCGGCGGTCAAGAATAGCCCATATCTCCGAACAGTGATCAGCCGAGATGATGTAAGGTAGAATGCTTGGCGAAATAACAGAGTAGAGGGCGGCTGCCAAATTTTGATCGAGCAAGCGCCATGTGATGTACTGCGGATTTGGTATGGGGTTACCGTCTTTCGATATGATCGTTTGAGAAGGAGACGAGGAGGATCCGTCCAAGAAACCTTGGTACCCATTTACCGAGAAGAGTTTCAGAGTTTGGGAGCGCCATAGAGGATGATTGTCAGCGGTGAGAGGAGGTGAGATGATGTTCTTGACGTTACTCATGAGAAATTTGAGTGACGTCGGGATCGTCGGAGGGGAGGAGGGAAGGTGATCTTCAGTGGTAGAGTGATCCGGTGAGGATCTGTTTGAGGCATCTTCCATGAGGACGGAATACGAGAGGGATCGATCTGAGAGGTGAGGCTGAAGAGAGAAAGCGAGCTCGTAAGAGGATCAGAGCTCTGATACCATGTTGACGTCTGGTCGAAGACAGAACGAGACAGGGAAAGGAGAAACAGGAACTGAAAATTTTATTATTATTCATTC